CGGATTTTACCGTTAACCGTTAACTGGTTACACTGGCATTACGAAACGTAATCAAACACGTAAGCTATCGATTGATTTTGTTCTCACCTTAGTGAGCAAAACGCTAATTTGACGAACATAAATAAAATACGATCGTGTAGAATTATTATATTAAAACTAATCCGTTCCGTTTAACATAAACGTAATCAAATACTTAATCAAACAAAAACGTAACGGTCTTACGTTAAAGATTTACGTAAGAGAAAACATACGTAACAGAATGTATTATCGAAATAAACAATCAACAGTGTGGCCAGCTGCTGCGATTGAGTAAATTTTAGGCATTAACTATAGTGCCCGCATCTGGTCACCCGTGGTTCTGCACGTGTTTTTCTTTTCGAGATTTTGGCCGCGTGTTTAACAGCAGCATTCACATTTCGGCGAAAGTTGTATTAAAAAGTGCAAGTACAGCAACTAATTATGGGCAAACCAGGTGCGGAAAACAAATATCTATTGAGTCTATCTAACGCGCGCTGTACAAACATTGATTTGAGCGCCAACTTAAACATATTGTGGGGTTAATATTCAAACGTGATATCTTTCTTTTGCAGGTTTTAGTCCACGCGGTGGTGGCGGCGGCGGAGGAGGAGGCGGTGGCTTCCGTGGTCGTGGCGGTGGCGGCGATCGCGGAGGTGGCGGCGGATTCCGTGGCCGTGGAGGCGGCGACCGTGGTGGAGATCGCGGCGGCCGAGGAGGATTTGGAGGACGCGGCGGCGGTGGTGGCCGTGGAGGTGGCGGAGGACGCGGAGGCGGTGGCTTCGGCGGACGAGGCGGCGGTGGTGGACGCGGTCGTGGTGGCGGCGGAGGCCGTGGAGGCGGCGGACGTGGAGGCGGCGCCGGAGGCTTCAAGGGCGGCAAAACAGTCACCATTGAAGCGCATCGTCACGAGGGCGTGTTCATTGCCCGCGGCAAGGAGGATGCCCTGGTCACCAGGAACTTTGTACCCGGCTCTGAAGTCTACGGCGAGAAGCGCATCTCTGTCGAGGTTTGTTGTTATTTCATTGTTTATATAAACCTGCTTCTCCCGCTTTCCCTTTTGTTTCCTCGCTGATGATGAGGTTGTGCAGGGGTACAGAACATGGCATTATGTGGTCATGAGCATCCTCGGCGGCCACCTGTGACTGTGTGCACTTCAGGTGCACGTGAAGCAGTTGCTGGGGCTCCAAGGCGTGCTTAGAATTAATGCACAACTGAGGCGCTATTCCAGAGAGACTTTATTTGAAAAACACGCAACTTTCTTCTAATCACACTTCTGTTTCCTTTGCAGACCAATGGCGAGAAGATTGAGTACCGTGTGTGGAATCCCTTCCGCTCCAAGCTGGCCGCTGCTATCCTGGGCGGCGTTGAGCAGATTCACATGCCACCGGGCTCCAAGGTCCTGTACCTGGGCGGTGCTTCCGGAACGACAGTCTCCCATGTGTCCGACGTTGTGGGACCCGAGGGTCTTGTCTACGCCGTCGAGTTCTCTCACCGTTCCGGTCGCGATCTGATCAATGTGGCCAAGAAGCGCACCAACATCATACCCATCATCGAGGACGCTCGACATCCCCACAAGTACCGCATGCTGGTCGGCATGGTGGACACGATTTTCGCCGACGTTGCCCAGCCGGATCAGGGCCGTATTGTGGCGTTGAATGCCCAGCACTTCCTGAAGAACGGCGGACACTTTGTCATCTCGATCAAGGCCTCCTGCATTGACTCGACGGCGCAGCCCGAAGCTGTCTTTGCCGCCGAGGTGAAGAAGATGCAGGCGGACAAGCTGAAGCCCCAGGAGCAGCTCACGCTGGAGCCCTATGAGAGAGACCACGCCGTCGTTGTCGGCGTCTACCGACCACCGCCCAAGCAGTAAGCAGCTGCCTCCTGCCGGGTTTTAGTTTTAAGGCTATTGTACTAATACAGACGTGTTGTATTAAGTTTCTTTTTAAATATAAAACCATAGTTGTAAAGATAAATCAAAATGCAAACTATTTTTGTAGCAAAGACGTACAAAAAATACACAGAAACCAAAAGGAATTGAAGCGGGGCGTGTTAACAGGGTTTAATTGTTGCCAAAAGAGGGTTTCATGATAAAGGATATGACTATAAATTAAGATCCCGTTCCTTTTCCTTTGCTTTATAACACTTTACCTTTTATTGGTGTATTTTTTACTGTCATTAAAACTAAGTTGTAGCATTTTATTCAATTTAATTTTTTAATTTTCATCACAACAGAATACGGAACTACAATGTTATAAATAGTATAAATAAATACAAATTATAAAATAAAACAATATATAGATTTAATGAACTTAAAAAAAAAAATTTTCGCTGCGGACAGGATTCGAACCTGTGCGGGTAGAACCCAATGGATTTCAAGTCTATCTCCTTAACCTCTCGGACACCGCAGCTGGGTATCACACGCTGTCCTAAATACCCAATTTAAGGTACGAGTGAAATTTTATAAATTATATATATATTTTATAAATATATAACTTATTAAAATGGCCTTTTTGCCTTATTTGACGCGCCGCCGCCGCCGGTTCTTTCTTGACTACTACGCCGCCGCCGCCGAGTCATTTTGACCTCTACGCCGCCGCCGGATGCCTTTAACCATCGGCGTAAACCTCTAGTTCCTACGTCTTTAAACGTGCGGTCAGAGTTGTTAGAGCAACAAGTCGCCAGGTACAGTTACGTTCAAAATTTGTTCATATCCCAGGACATATTTCTCTTTATTAATTATTATATAAATAAATATTTCATAATTTAAAAACACTGAATGCTCTTAAATATAATTATTTATTTAATAATTACTATCTAACTTTCTTAGAAATTTATTTTAAGAGTGAAGAAACACTATTTAGTTTACCTTGACTGTACGGAGATAATAGGGAGAGATATGCATTAATAGCTTAGGACCATTTTCCTGGGGCTGCCCACCAAAGCACTTCAGCACACGACGCCCACATTGGAAAATCCAGACAGAAAAAACAAATGGGGAGAAAAGCAATAGAACTCAGCCCGAGGGAACAGTTTTCAGGTTCTACTGGCGCGTTATAGTATATTAGCCGGGTAACGGACATCAGCCGAAATAGCTCAGTTGGGAGAGCGTTAGACTGAAGATCTAAAGGTCCCCGGTTCAATCCCGGGTTTCGGCAAAACTTTTTTGGTTTATTTTTTAAGGGGAAAAGTTTATTTTATATTTTAAAATTTATTTTTAAAGATAAGTTACACAATTTGTTTGTAATATTCTCCAAGCAAAGACATAAACCGTCGTTAGTGGTTGCGCACACCGTTTGACTCAAATGCCACTTTGGACACTAAAGTGCCAACGGCCGAAATAGCTCAGTTGGGAGAGCGTTAGACTGAAGATCTAAAGGTCCCCGGTTCAATCCCGGGTTTCGGCAATTACTTTTTTTTCTTTTAACAAACTTTTTTTTTTTAAATTTATTTTATTAAATCCGTCGCCTACTTTATCATATACGCCATTTTTCATTCGAGTTCAATACTCGAACTTTAAAGGGCTGTATCTTCTGTTCTAATGTATGGATTCTAAAAATCTTAGTCTTGTTTTGTTGGTATGTGTATACACTATGTTTCATAAAAATTTGAAGTCATTCCATAAAGGGAGAAGCCTATGCTTAAGCCAAATGTAAAAAAAGTCAAATGTTACAGTTTTGCACCCAGCTTATTTTCGATCAAATATTTTTATTAATATTTTTTTAATAATGTTTCCACAGCCCCTTAGATTTTTTTAAGTTCTCCTATGGAATTTGGCATACTCAGGGTGTAGCCTAGCACAAATTCAGGGGGACTAGCGTACCAGACGTCCTTTGTCTTATCCAAAAGCTCCATCACTCCATTTGAAGGAACTGCATATCTCACGAATTGCGATTTAGCAGGACTCCATAGGTTTTCAATTGGATTCATATATGGAGATTGTACTGGCCACTTTATACACTGAAAATTTTGTGTTGATATCAAATTTTGGACCAAATAGGACGAATGCTTTGGGGGATTTTCTTGCTGAAAAATGCATTTTTCAACAGAAAGACCGAAATTTTCGATGGCTACTGGAAGATTTTGTTGTAATATGCTGACTACGGTAGTCGGACTAAACAAAAATTGATCGATTTGAGTCAGATGATCGCTCCTGGTGTTGAACTAGAAACCCCACCAAGTAATGTGCGCAGACCGTCAAGCACGGTGGCGGCTCAATTATGGTCTGGGGGTGCATACGTAAAAACTGAGTTGGTCCGCTGGTGTTAATCGATGGAATAATGCGGAAGGAACTATATTTAAGCATATTACAACAAAATCTTCCAGTAGCCATCGAAAATTTCGGTCTTTCTGTTGAAAAATGCATTTTTCAGCAAGAAAATCCCCCAAAGCATTCGTCCTATTTGGTCCAAAATTTGATATCAACACAAAATTTTCAGTGTATAAAGTGGCCACTACAATCTCCATATATGAATCCAATTGAAAACCTATGGAGTCCTGCTAAATCGCAATTCGTGAGATATGCAGTTCCTTCAAATGGAGTGATGGAGCTTTTGGATAAGACAAAGGACGTCTGGTACGCTAGTCCCCCTGAATTTGTGCTAGGCTACACCCTGAGTATGCCAAATTCCATAGGAGAACTTAAAAAATCTAAGGGGCTGTGGAAACATTATTAAAAAAATATTAATAAAAATATTTGATCGAAAATAAGCTGGGTGCAAAACTGTAACATTTGACTTTTTTTACATTTGGCTTAAGCATAGGCTTCTCCCTTTATGGAATGACTTCAAATTTTTATGAAACATAGTGTATACACATACCAACAAAACAAGACTAAGATTTTTAGAATCCATACATTAGAACAGAAGATACAGCCCTTTAAAGTTCGAGTATTGAACTCGTGTTACAGTTTTGCTCGTCAGTGTAAATTCCGTCCCATTATTCAGAACACCCGAAAGTAAGAAAAATTCGTTTTGCTTCGTATATAATATTTTTTCATTTATTAGTCTAGTTTTCGACATTATTAGTATTATAGCAAGCCGCCAGTACTTTAAATAATACAAAGTATATATGTAGTGTATCTATTTTTTACTTATAGGCTATGATTAACTAAGAGTGCATGACTATTTATTTTCGGGGCATGCCCCAAAGTTCTATTAAGTAACATTTCCTTTGAACGCATACATATTAAGGAAGTGTAAGGCATCCGGATATAGCAGCTCCATATATTGGGTGTACAAAGTAGATAGCTTAGCTTGACCACAACTCCTGGCCCGGGCCCGGGCCCTGGCTGTGGTCAGCCGGCAGAACATACGATAAATTATAGCAGCCTTACAAATACGATACTCTTTACTCTATTAAGTTACAACTCGAATCGTTCGCAGGTTACTAAAGCTAGTTGGTGCCCCGGCTGGAGGAGGTCTCCGATGCTCAGAAGTCGGGATCGTAGTCGCGCGAGTAGCGCGTCCTACTCGCATGGTTGTTGTAGCTGTACATCTGATGGGCATCGGCGAAGGCATCCGGATACTGGTGTCCGTACGCCTGCTGATGCTGCTGCGGCTGGTGATGATCTCGCCCACTGTACTGGCCGTGGTTGCTGTGACTTCCGTGATGGTGGTGATGCTGCGGCCTCTTCAGGGAGTCGCCCTTCTGGGAGTACGTCGGCTGTTGGTCATAGAAGTAGTCACCGCTGGTGTGCGGATGGCGAGTGGAGCGCCAGCTGTCATAGATGTTGGAACTGTTGCTGCCGTGCATGGAGTTGGTGAAGCGCTAAAGGAAATGAATTAAATAAATAAATTAATTAGAAGGTTTAATAATTAAAAGAGTCAAGTTACCTTTGGCTTGATGGGCTGTTTGGTATCATTCCAGGGATCGTCTATGTTGTAGAAATCATCAACGCCATAGTTATCTACACCGCCCATGTGGTTCACCTTGAGCTCGTTTAGCATGTCATTCGTCAGAGGAATCGGAGCCTTTTTGGCCCTCTTTTGGCGATTCAGCAGCTGCAAGAGGATTAAGGATTAACCAGAGCTCTACGAAAAAATCAAGAGTTGTAAATCACTTACCACTGTGACGCCAAAGATGATGACAAAGACCAGGGAACCCACGCCTATAACAATCACCACAATAGCCCATTGGGGTATAAGCAGATCCTCCTCGGCATATTCAACATTGGTGTGCACATTCTTGGCTATGACTGTAGGGGAAAATTATACATTAATTACTTAACTTCAGGTATATAGTGTTCACCGACTCACCACTAAAATCTGTGGCTACCGGATCAATGATGTATTTGCCCATCTGATAGCTGGCGGTAACCAAATGCTCCTCCTGCGGTCCCGACACGCTGTCCGTCTCATTCTCCTGGGCATCCTTATCCGGCACGGAGGGAGTCGCTGGCTTGGTCAGGGCATCATGGAACAGCTGGCGAATTTCCAGGGTATCCACATCCTCGGTGATGTTGGCCAGCTCCACATAGTAGTCGACCAGGACACTGCCCTTGCTGAAGCTATCGATGCGCACCTTCTTGTACCATTTGTTTAGCTGCGAGGCTCCCGAGTAGACTTCATTGAGCTGTGCCTCCAGCTCGTGGGCCAGATTCTTCCATTCCAGCGTATTGTGATCTAGCAGCTCTGGTTTCCAGGCCACACCATCGATGATCTTGATGGTGGCCGCCAGATCGCAGTCAGCGGTGCAGTGACCCGGTTTCGTGGGTCGCGGTGTCGTCGTCGTCGTTGTGCTCGTCGTCGTGGTGGTGCTGCTACTGGTACTGCTTGTTCCACTGGCCGTCAGCAGATCCTCAAAGTTAATGGTTTGAGCGTTCAGCTTGTCGATGGACAGCGGAGTAGTGGGCGGTGTTGGCCAGCCAGTGAACTCAGTGGTGGCTCTAGTCGGGGGACCCTTCTTGATCACCACTTGCGGTGATCCCTCGTCCTTTTTGGGCTCAGAGGCTGCGCCGTCTTGAGAGGGATGCGGAGTTGTTAGGCGATGGGAACCCACTCGCTTGTGGAAACCCTTGGGGAACACAACCTTTAGGCCACTTCCTCCGCCACTCTCGGTCACAGCGGCTGCTTCAGTGGTGCTGGAAGGCACGGCCTTGGGTTTGCCCGTCGTTGTGGTCGTAGAGGCAGGGTGAACCTTCTTTGACTTGTAGCCAGGTGGCAGCAGCGAGGCAGGGATCTCATCGCTGCTCTCGGAATCCGCCTTGGCGGTTTCATTCAGCTTAAATCCTGGTGGCAACAGACTGCTCAAATCATCGATTTTAATGGGCGTCACACCCTCTGGCAGCTTGGGCTGCTCCTTCTCCTTGGGAGCCTTATAGCCGGGCGGCAGGAACTTGCTCAAGTCATCGAAGGGCACAGCCACTGGCAGGTTTCGGGGAGTGGTCGAGGAGCTGGGAGTGGTGGAGTTCGCCTTGTAGCCTGGCGGCAAGAACTTGGAGATATCATCCACCACAGAAACCTCTGGCTTGGGTGTACTGCTCAATTTGTAGTCCTTGGGCAGAAGGGCGGCCAGGCTGTCGTCGAACTTCACCTCGCTGAAGAGACTCTCCAGGCCAGAGGAGGGCTTGACACTGCTCTCATCCGGTTTCTTAGTTGTCGTTGTCGTGGTAGTAGTTGTCCTGGGCGGCTTATAGCCCTTGGGCAGGAGACCCGCCAGAGCCACGTCCTGCACTGTCACCTGGCCGCTCTTAAAGGACCGACTTATGGTGGAGTTGCGTCCCGGCTTGGGCTTTGTCAGCTCTGCCGGGGGAGCCTCCGTCGTGGACGTGGTTGTTGTAATCTTGCGGTTCTTGTAGCTGGATTTGGGCTTAAAGCCCACTGGCAGGAGTCCCGCCAGCTCGTCCATTTCACCCTCATCGAAGTGCTGTACCTTGAGTTTGCTGCCACTGCTGGTGGTGCTGGGAGCAGAGGTGGTCCTCGGCTGGAACTTCCTGATGTGGGGCACGAATTTACCAGAGCCCGCGGCAGCGGTTGTGCTGGTAGCCGGCGTGGAGGAGTCCATCTGGCTGATTATGGGATATTTCCCGGATAGCAGACCGCTGGACAGCTCTGACTGGACGCGATCCAGCTTATCGATGATGCTCTCGGTGGAGGCGGCAACCGGAGGCTGAACGGAGGAGCTGACAACAGGGACCTCTTCACTGCCCTCTGGCTGTTTCTGCTGCTTGGAGTGCACCTTCCGCTCCAGCTCGGACAGGGTCTGCTTGGTCTCCTCCTGCTCGATGGCGGGGAAGGGCAGGAACCTGGCACCGTTGATGCTGCGACTGGGCTGGATGGAAGCCACCACTACATAGTTTTCCGTGGCATTGGATGCCTTTTCTTCGGTTTCCAAGTTAATGGGAGTGGTGGTGTCTACTTTAGCTTCGGACAGGGTTTCCTCTCCCTCCTCCTCCGTTATTGTGTTGGAACTAGGCGTGACTGGCGCAGGCAGAACAGTGGATCCATTAACCACACTCTTGGTGGTTACCACAGAGATGATTTCGCGATCATCCACATGCTCGGCACTGGGCGTAGACGATGGCTTGGAATCCTGTGCTTCCACCTCTTTGGTTGAGTCTTCGCCACCTTCTTCATCCTCATACTCATAATCCTCACCTTCTCCTTCATCGTCATACTGGGATTCAGATTGCTCTTCCTGCTTGGATGAGCTGTGGCTTTCCTGCTTGGAAGAACTGTGCTCCTCCTGCTTTGTTGGCTTGGGTTCCTCTTCCAGTTTCTCCACCGCCTTTGGGCTCACAACTTCCTCCTGCTCGGATGTGCTTTCAACTGGAGTCTCAGTGGTCACGACCTGTTCTTCCACTTGTAGTTCCTCTGTGGACTGGTTCTCCTGCGGAATAATGGTTGTGACTTCTTCGGCAATCTCCTCTTCCTGAGCAGAGACCAAGGTGGTGGCTTCCACTTCGGCATTGGTGACTTCTGAGACATCCGTTTGGCTTTCCTCGGTGCTAGCGGTGCTGCTCTCATTATCGACTTCCGAAGTGGTGGTGACCTCGGAATGCTCAGCTGGCAGAGATGCCTCATTCTTGGCCACTGTCACTGGCGTCACATTCTCCTCCTGGAGGGGCAGTTTCTCCAAACTAGAGGACTGCGAATGATCCTCTGGTCCCTCATCGGATTCCTGTTCATACTGATCATCGCTGTTTTCCTGATCCTCTTCGTCCTGATCCTCGTCCAGGGCTTCCTCCTCCTCCTCTTCCTCGGCACTCTCGGTGGTGCTAGTGGTGCGGGCAGTGGGTCTGGCTGGCAACTTCAGCCTGGCTCCGCTGTAATTGAAGGGCCTCTTGCTCACCAAACTCACTGGTTCGTTGACTTCGCGACTGATGAAGACGGGACGCCTGGGATTGGGTGACTTTCTGCCAAAACTTGGACGTTCTGAAGGCGTGTTCTGAGTCGTCGAGGTGGTGCTCGTAGACTTGACCCTGTTGCTGCCAAAACGATTGTACCGCTTGCTGCTGACCTCGGCACTGTCCGTGGTCGTGGTGGTGCTGCTGGAAGGAGTGGCACTGCTACCCGGCTGATACCGATTCCTGGGCCTAAAAGGCGTAGAGGCGGGCGTGGCTGGGTTCTCCGGCAGCGCTGAAACCGGAGCCTGGGTCCGTGTCCGTGTGGGTGAGAAGCCACCGCCATTGCCGAACGGCCGAGTGTGGGACGGAGTCACCGGACGCTTGTCGTTCTGCAAGAAGAGATGCGGGTTTTGGATTAATGAGAGCTCAGTCAGTGCATTGTCTCGGATCACGGGAGCAGCTGCACCATGGCTCCGTTCACAGCCTCGACAGACGTCGTCGTCATGGGAAACTGTTACAGTTTCGACATGGAACCGCAATCTCTGCGGTTCGTTCGTCGTCGTCGTCGTCGTCTTCTGCTGTCAATTGTATGGCGTGCGAACTCTTCTCAACCGCTGCTGTGCCATTCAAGTGATTCTCAAATTTGTCTAAAGCGTTTTGTGCAAATTTTCCTAGACCAGTAATCCCCATTCCCTTATATCTCCTCCAACCCCCATCCAACCATCCGTTCATCTTTAATTTATGCGCTCGTATTTATTTAATTTTTATGTGAAGGCAACCTCGCAACTGTCAAAGTTAGGAGAATCCTCACAGCAGGTTGCCAAATCCAAGGCACAGAGAGAAATAGGGGTACTTGGTAATTGATTTAATAGCAGATGATGATGGGTTATGACACTGTATGGTTGAAAGGGAGATGGTATTCTATTTAGGTTAAGATATATGAAGAAAGGGCATATAGAGTTCTCTTTCTACCTTTAAGAAATGATAGAAGCTATGAGTACTTCAGATGAGTAGTTGGTCATGGGGATATGACACTGTATTATTGTAAGTGTGACAGTGTTCTCTAAGATAATTTAATTTATTTTTAATTTAAATTTATATGTTAGAAATTACTGAAATAAATTCTTGAAAGCTGGGAAAGATGGCGTAGAAAATGTTATAGAAAACAATACTACTCCCTTATTTCTCTCTGTGTGCTTTAGTGTTAGGAGTCATAAAGATGATTGGAGATTGGCAAAGCTTCGGATGGCTGGCTGACTGGATGGAGAATGGGACGAGAGGATGAATTTGTTAACCACTAAAAGGCATGATCTCAAAAGTAATGCCAACTAATGAGTTTTCGAGCGCCCACTAGCAATTGTTATTATTATGGCCGATTAATCGTGAACCGATTTGATATTTAAGCCCGGCATCCATCAAGGCAGCACTTTCGCCTGAATGGGCCAACAAATTGCAGCAATTAACTTGAGAAATTTATGTGGGCAAAACGAGAAATGGAAAATGAGAAATAGAGAAAACGGAAAGGGAACTACTACTCTTCCGCTCTGACATTTCAATTATGAGAGTTTGAAATGTTTAAAATATACGAGTAAATATTTGTGGAGCCAAAAGTTATGTGCACAAACACTTGCCTTCTGGAGTTGTTTTTCTCTTTTTTTTTGTAAATTTTTTATAAATAAACAGAAATTGGTAAGGCAAACATGATTTATGAACGCAGCTTGTTGGTGGTTGGCTTTGCCAAAACGTTAAGCAAATAACAATAAAAAATAAAAATGTGGAGCATGAAATGCAATCGGGTGAAAGGTAAACTATAATTCGATTTGGCCTTTTTCTGCGGTTATTTTCAAAAAGTAAACTTTTGGAACTGGTTCTGAAGTTTGGCTACTTGAAATGAGGGGAGAGAAAAAAGCGCCTCAAAGCATTTACTGTTTGGAAGTCACGTAAGACTCAAAGAAATAATAAAAAAACAAAAAATAACCTCCAACAGATATTGGCTAAAATCAGAGCAGAGCCAATTGTTTTGTTAACTTGTTATGCAATTGACGCTGCGAAATTGTTTTTGCCCGTGTTCCGAGCTCTCGAGTTCGAGTTCGAGTGCTTCTTGTTATGCCAATTGAGATTGCTTTTCAGCCGCTTTTACTTTCTGGGATCGCCACTCCAGATCTCGGCTTCGATCTCGTTTGCCATCTCTCGATTTCCTTACCCCGGACTCGCTGAAGTGGGCCAGAAATTGCGTCTGCTGGTGGGGCACATTGATGCGCTGCGTCTGCGGCTGGAATCCTCCTCCATTCAGGCTATTGCCAGCTCCATTCCGTATCGCCTTTGAGCGTGTGAAGCCGTTGGTCACTGATGCACCAGTTCCCGCTCCAGCTCCAGCACCAGATACCGCCGATGCTGCCGGCACTCCAAAGGGGCGTGGCGAGATATCGTAATAGTCCGTCTGGCGATTCGGTTTCTGCGGCCGAAAAAAGCGTTGTGGAAGAGAAAAAACATCGTGATAGGCTTTTAATGGTGTTATGGCAAAAGCAGGTTAATTAGTTTTAGTTTAGGTTTTTCTTTCGTTTGAGGGGTTTGTCAAATGATATAAAAAGTTTGATAAATAATGAATTAGGGATTCAAGCAGAATGGGCTTATAATTAAAAAGAGTTGTGAGGGGGGAAAAATAAGCCATGAAGTTGGGGTAAAACCCAGGAGGAGATGGGGTCTTGAAGGTAAGGTAGTATTATTTAATACATTTTTATTTTTAACTTTTAATTAAAAATAAATAAATTAGAAGGCTACCATTGCAAGGGTACACAATCTTCGGCTTTCTAAACTTAGCTTCCCATCTTGGTTTTTAATTTAAATATATTTATAAGCTTTTTTTGTTTCCCTCAAAGACTCCCGAAAATAAACATTGATAAATAATGGATCAAGTTCTTAGGCAGAATTTAGCATATAATTAAAAATCAATTTGTCGAAGCCATTAACTTAAAAATGGCGCACCTTCTGGTTATTGAACTTTCTTAGTTGATGATCTAGAGAAGAGTTTTAAATTACAAAAGAATAAAAAATTCCAACTGAATCATTCAACAAAACTCCAAATGAATCATTGAAGTAGGTTTTTTTAATGTTTCAAGTATAAACCCACACATTTAGTCACCTTTAAATGTAAATTATCTTTGAAGGTTCTTTTTTAAATAAAACCCCATAATTTCATAAGAAAAACCATCCAAGAGTAAGAGTAATTTCCCAATTAAATAGACACACCTTAGCCCCTCTAACGTAACAGTTTTATAGGTTTTATAAGCTGCTACAAGCTGACTTTGATCAGGGTCTTAAAACGATACCCCAAAAGTGCTCTCAAAAGTGACAGAACTATCATAAGTCCGACTTAAGCCGGGTCTTAAGTTGACAAAGTCCATAATCTAGGCCAAACTTCAGGTGGGAAAAAAAAACACTCGTAAGAGCCCAGAAGAAACCCTTCTCAATCGCCTTCGACGTGCTGCAGACAAAGCCACACAGAGCTCTAGATATCGAAAGCTGCAGCAGCGAGCAGACAATGGAAATCGATTGAAAATATTTGATTGAAGTGTATCAAGGTCGTTTGGAGGCGATATATTCAGCTGGCTCACTAATTATCCGAAATCCAAATTGCCGCCAGTTTCGCCTCCAATCCAATCCAATCCCAAGTACTTGTTATTATTGGTACTTTGTATTGTTTGTTGTTGATTGTGTGTTAGCTATGTGCTTAGTTTTTGTTGTTATTTTTTTGAAAGCCTAGTTGTGCTGCATTGGCTGCCAAAGTTTTGCTCTGTTAAGCAAATTGCATACAAAACGCAAGTTTTGTTGCTAAAAGGCGCATTTCAATGCATTTATTTTTCCGCTTCTTGACGGAGCTGTTTACGCATCAGAAAATTCACGTTTCCATCCGCCAAACAACGAACTCTAAGCTGAAATTTTCTGGGTTTTGAGATTTTCTCTCTGGAGTCCGTAGAGAAATGCGGTTTGTTGCCCATTGGACTTACTCTGATTAACCGACATTTAATGGGCGGGGCGGCTACAGTGTAATCAACACCTTCACATTGGTACACGGAGAAAAATTGTGGGATGTTTATAAGCATATATTCATATATATTCAGTACTGTTTACCGGTATATAACCGGATTTAAAGGGTAAAGAAAGCACCCAATTGGCAAAAACTCAATACAAAAATCTGCAATTTTAATTCGTAAATAAAAATTACTGCATTTCCCCTCTGTTTACTCTGTTTAATATATGTTTTGTGTGCTCTGATATGCTCAGAGATTGAAAATTTCACTGCCCCATTGTCAGTTGTCTCATTGTGTGGTTAGTCAGCAAAGAAAGCGATCGCCAGTCGGTGGGGGGGGAAATTAAAAACAAACGTTTCTAAGACATTTGTCAATACGGCTAGCATAATGAAACTATGAAAGCTTCGCTCACGAAGCTAAGAGCTGGGGAGTTATTGCAGCGCCACTTATGCGATGTCATTACGACGCACTTTCCCCTTAGACCAACACACGGCACACACACTAACTCCTGGCCATGGCCAATCAGTCGTCATTCAAACAAATCACAATTTCCATTATGGTTTATGATAAGCTGGCTCGTAACGAGTGGGCAGGAGGATCTTTTCAGTAGCTCTCATACCTAGCTGATCCTGCCTGGAGCTGTCTTCATTCATCATCAGTCTGAAAGGAGCACCTCGAAAGGGTTCTGTAGGTTAGACTGGCTGCACAATTGCAGAAATCACTTCACGAGCTGAGCCAAGTTAATTGAGTTTTTCTTTAAGCCAACAAAGCTCTCTATAGTGCATTGAGACCCCTGGCTGTGCAGTTCCCCCTTGCAGCTCTTGGAACCTCCTCTGAACCACAAAAGCGCATTTCAATTAGGGCCACAGAAGACCTGCCTGCAAAGTGCGTGCTCATCGCCTTTCAGGCTGGCAATAAACAATATGAATTTACACTTTTTTCAATTAAGAAACACTCAGGCTGGCCTGGCACCCCTCCCTTTTCTGGCTTTCATGAATTTGAATCCACAGTCACGAGTACTCACGCATATATTTGTTGATATGCAGAAGCCCCCAACGATTCGCTTTGTCTGCCTTTTGGTCAAGTGAAAGTAAGAGGGAGAGACTTGCAGTTCCCGGCATTTCTTACACGCACATTGGGGTATATTTATAATATCTTTAATTTGATTATAGCTCTCATATGTTGTGGGGTTTTTTTTTAATATTTCTCTGGTGACTGGTTAGCGTGCAGCCTACGGACATTTTAAAAAGCAAAACTAACAGTTTTTGGCAGTCGCGTGCCAAGGCAATAAAAATGAAGCAGTAAAAGGTAACAGAGATGTTTCCAGCCAGGTGATAGATGTAAGAGAAAGGTTGAAAGTGAGATGATTCCTTGATTTTAAAGTATATTTTAATAAATATTTCCTGGACTCTTTGATATAGGTATTTATCTATATTAAAGAAGAGGAATTTATCAGCTGTTTATATCTTATTTTATATGCCAACATTTATTATTAAATCCAATTTCTGTTTAATAAAATGTAATCTCTTTTGGAAGCTTTCTAAAATATTGATTTTTAATCAAAACTATTTACATCCTCTGTTCGTTTTTGTGGCACGCCATATGTAGTTACCCACCAAAGCCAAAGGCAATTTACAAATTCCCGCCCCCCCCTGCAATTTTTCAAATTTTCTCGTATGCCTGTGGCATGTGGAAATCCTTTTTTTTTTGCATTCGATTTGATTTCGTTTTTGGCGTTGATTGACTGGCATGCCTAAAGCCCACAAAAAGAGACCAGGCCCACAAAAAAAAACCCCACTTAATTTCCTAAATCGTAGCTCTCCGCATAAGGAAATGTAATGTTTTGGAAAATAATTGAATTTGAATTTGAATTTAAATTTTTGTTGTACTTACCGCAAACTGGGAATTGCCACCACCATATGGAGCACCGCTGCCGAAGGGGGAACTGACCGCCGGCACCGCCGATTGCTTGGCATTCTCATTGGCTATGAAAAGGAGTTGCTCCTGGTAGGAGCCTGGAGCAGCGGGTGAGAAGCCGCCGGAGCTGGCACGGAAACCATTGAGGGACTGCGGCTGCTGCTGGCGGGGAAAGGTTCCAGATGATGGCACAAATCGGTTTTGCGAGGGGAAATAGTAGCTGGAAGTATCTGAAGGTCGCAAAAATACACAAATAATTAGTAAAATGGCGAAAATGTGTCAACAATCAATTAATTTGTACACCTTTCGTTGCCTCTGGCAACGTTTAACCATGAAACACATGGCAGTGCGGCACCAAAACCTAAAAATCATTGCTCTTAATTGCGCGAAAAGTGTAATAAATAAATATAAATAAATAAAGCCTCCGGCGTTGACGTCTGGCACCCCATAAATTATATCATTTTTCTCTTTTTTTGGGTCACAAATTTGTCACAGCATGGCGAAAAAATATTTGGCACGCATTTGTCAAGCCAGAAAAGAGACGTTCGTTTGCTTAAAGTTTCCTTTTAAGTAATTACCCAAAAAGTCGTGGGGTTTCCCAACTCAAAATCGATCAGAAAACCCTTAGCTATTCCCCATAAATAACCCATAATAATAGCTTATTATATATTGTGAAGATTCCCGGGATAGTTAAGCTAATAATAACCCATTAAATTGTTAAATTTTTAAGTCTAGCTTGTCCCCATTTTTCATGTTTACTTGGCTACATCTTTTCGGGTATTATTTTTGCCCAATTTTAAGTTGATTGAAAAAAGAAAAAGTGTAGCAAACTGCAAGAGGATATCTTATTATATTATTATTATTATTGTAATTCGTGGGGAACCCAAATTTACAATGCTTCAATGCGTCACAATCCTGACTCTTTGACCCACAATGTCTTGCCTCAAAAAATTAACAAACAAGAAAAATAACAAGAAAATGCAGTTGAACCACGCAAACTCTTATTATTTTTACGTTTTTCTCGTGTGTCGACAGATTTTGGGAGTCGCTAATTGAAAATTGAAATATCATATGGCAGCCGTTTTTTTACTTTTAACGAAATTGCAGCCGCGGCAGCGTTTCATTGAACATTTTATCAGACGAATTTATGCAAGAGCCTCGAGCTTTGGAGGCTTTGGAGTGGGGACAACGCCTACATGGGGTCTCCGAGTGAGGCACTCTATGCCTTCACACCTTGTTTTTACCTGAATCGCTTTTAACTGCAAATAATTGCCGTTTATTATCGCATCTAAGAACGCGACGAGGCGTCGCATGTCTCGCACATTTGCCGCGAGTTGTCGAAACTGACTGGAGATTAGTTTAGGGTTTTGATTAATGGGCCAAGCGGGATCTCTCTTTCAGATGGAATAAACCCAAAATATTTTGTATGCCAAGGCAGTGGCAGGCATTGCCGAGATTGTTTACTTAAGGCTTCTTATGAACGCCCACTTCCGTTGTTTGGCAGTGAAGTTAAGTGCATTACGAATAAACTAAGCTCAAAAGGGGGTTAATTTTAATTTAGTAAATGGTTTTTGTAAGTTAATTCTTTAAATATTATTTTTATTTTATAAGACAATGTATTTTGTTAAGGTAAAAAAAGTTTCTATCACTCCAAACATAGTTTTATTTATTATAAGAGCTTTTTTAGTCCCTAGAATGTAATTTTCATCAAGTTAATATTGTCATTGAAATTTAAAGATTATATTTAATAATATTAAGAAACTTTATCAACCTGATTTCAAACCAAATACACATACTGGCTGTTTAGTTTTACTAAAAATCTCGAAAACTATTTAAATAATTTAAATTAAAAACTAAAAAACTAAATAAAATGAAATACTTTTAGCAGATTTTCTACACATTTCCTACATCTACCCTAACACTGCTTGCTCACTGCTTTGAAACCTGTTGCTGACCACTGCTTGTCCTGGTGGAAATGCTAACCTGACGCCAAACAGCTGAGGCCGTTCGTGGTTCTCCCTGCTAAGAGGCCGCTCAGAACGCTCTGTTCTTAGTATAAAATAAACACACGCGAGTTCAACTCCCACTCGAGGTGAGAAATTTTAGTTACGTTTTCCTTCTGCGCTTGGGCAAGGGTGCTTATGCTATTCCAAGCGTACTTACTCTAATCCGCAAAAGGTAGATTAAATCGTTCGCTCTCCATTGCCGTTGACGCTGCACTATAGCTCCATATATCCAAGTGGGCATTGCAGTTCTAATAGGGGTGAATACAATTCTTTTTTTTTCTGATATTTTTCTACAACTTTACTCATTAGCATGCCGTGTGCACTTGACCCAAAAATCGAAAAACCGTCAAAATAAATTAAAGTTTGATGACGATTTCGTTGATGTCGTGACACATTTGCCTATTTTGTGGCCAGAAGTTTACTAGACGGCGGCAGCAACCTTCGGGCTCTTGTCGCATAAATATGCCTATAGATCGGAAATTGGAATTTATTGTAAGTTTGGCCAGAGGGGATTCGAGAGATGCGGTCAGAATTTATTATAAACAGAGCTATATCTCTGGCTGTTGGAGTATCTTTATATAGACAAACGTATCCGTACACTGAAGAAGAATCTATAGCATATAGCTGGTTCAGATTATCTTCTTTTGCTAATAATAGAAAATTATAATTATATAAACCCAAAAAGAGCCCAAATTGAGCCCTAAGTTGATGGCACGCTTTAAAGTTGCTCCGGGCAAGGAAGAGTCTGCCACAGCCACACCGATATCGCAAGGTTCGCCATTCAATCGCCGATGTCAAGTAGGTCCTTCTATCTATATCCTTAAGTTTTCTGAGGCTTATCTTAATTTGCCACCTTTAATATGAAGGGTATGCAAGGTCCGGCCTTTATTATAATAGGTTTCCCTTAAGAGGTTTTTATACCCTTGCAGGGTATTATAATTTCAGTCTGAAGTTTGCAACGCAGTGAAGGAGACGTTTCCGACCCCATAAACCATATATATTCTTGATCAGCATCAACATGCGAATCTTTCTAGACATTTCCGGAAGAAATCGATTTTTTGGCCATTTTTGCGAAATTTCATAAGGGGTTACATCATTAAAATTTGCAGAAATAGCCAAAAATTTCGATTTCTTAAAATTTTAAATTTGGTATGCAGTTTTTTTAAATTAATAAAAACTAACACAAAACTGCTTTCCGAATCGAAATTAATGCATTTTTGGCTTAGTTATGATATATTTTAATTGTTACCTGCAAGGGTATACAAACTTTGGCTGGCTAAAGTTAGCTTTCTTTCTTGTTAAAATATCTTTCAAGTTATTCATTATAACTACACTACGAGAAATTTTGTAGCCCTATAAAATGAAACTTTAAGAGCACGCAGACTGTTTAGTAAAAAGGTCTTTCTGGATGTGACAATCCCATTTGAAAGCCCATTGTGCAAAGCCTGCTCCGACAATGGCCTGCCACGATTCAAGTCCGTTTCAACTTAGCCGCCGCCGCCGCCAGTGTCCGGTGGTTCTAACTCGGCCCAAAGGTGACTCTGGCAAACTGTCGTCTGCATTTGGCATTTGGCTAAGACGAACAAAAACAGGAAAATGGCCGAAAACAATGGGGCGGCCGCAACGACCGAGGGGCGTTGTGTGGGTTAAGCGGTTCAATGCAATACCATTTTCAGCCAAAGCGGCGATCGGTGATGGCTAATCGGCATCCCCGGCCACCGGTGAGAGAGAGACTGGTCACGTCAAGTGCTATTCCCACAGCACAGTGGTTTAAGGTTGGGTTGTAGATGAAGTCTATATGGAAGATTATTGTATGTATTCTGTTTAGTAAGTATTATTGACAATTTGTAGAGAAATGCCTGAGAATTCTCTAGAATTTACTACTCTTTCAGTCCTGTGGCTGCTGAACTGAACTAAAAAATATAATAATCCCTTAAATGAAAAATTAAATCAAATCCCACAACCACTGTGCCTGATCTATCAGCTCCACTGCTTGACATTTACTATTTTGCAGTTAAGAATTTAAAATTTACACGGCATTTATATATAGCTGCTGGTTTCGCACATCTCTCGTTCATATAGCTGCGCTTATATCGGGGTGTTTCGGGGGCTAATTATGCCAGTGACAATAGAGTCTCTCCTATTCACTGGCAGCACTGGGCTGGGCTGGTGCAACAAATTGCGAAAATAAAAGCATGAAATCTTCTTCATTTGTTTGGGATTTTTTCTCGTTGCAGTTTTTGTTTGTGCGAAATGTCAAGCCATGGCGCAAATACTTCACCAGAAGGTGCAACAAAGGCGAAGGGGGGAACAACAACAACAAATGACAGCAGCAGAAACAAGTTGAACTTTACGTTTTTCTTAACTTTAATCAAGTTTCTTGGCTGGCCGCCGCTCTCTGGGATGCAAGGCATTCGCTATTGTTGTTGCTTCTTCGTTTTTTGTTTTGTTTTGCTTTTTGACTGAAGGTCGTTGCTGCTTTTGCCTGCAGTTTTGAATGCAGCACAATATTTTGAAAGTTGAACTGCTTGCAACAGAGTTTTTGAAGGCACTTTTTAAGGGTTTTTGAACCAGAGTTCTGGTAATTATTTTTTAAAATTGTTTACTGATTTTTTTAACTCCATAAGACTAACCCTGGAGGCTCTTCTAAACAAGAGTTCCCATAATCTATATTTAAATACTTCAAACCTTAGTGAACTTCATTAGAATCTCTACTATATTGTGGGAATAACTCCATAAATAACTCAATAAAACCCCATATTTTTGTTATATCTCCCCTAATCAAAGGGTAATCAAAGTCACAAATAAAGACACTCCCATCTAACAATGACTAGATCTAGGCCTTAAGGTATAGGCCCCATAAATTGTGGGGTGCTTAACCAGGCACAACTCACTTCCTAGATCTCTCTGACATCATAAACCCCACACCCAGTTCAGAAAACCCGATATTATTACTTCCATTATGACTCTTTTTTTTGTGTTTGTTTCTTTTGACAAAATTTCATTTAATTTACTCACTTTTAATGGACTTTGGCAAACTGATCAGAACCAACGTTGCAAAAGATAACAAAATAATAATCGTAAAAAAAAGAAACCAACAGAACTGAAAATGGAGACTGAGAACAATAAGCTTCCGACGCCGGTGGCGATAATATCAAACACAAATAAACTTGAGAAATCTGTCGAGAAGAGTGGACAGTGGCGTTCTCGCTAATTAGAAAATA